GTCACCCCGTCGATGTCGTAAGGCGGCCGTTCGATTGTGGCCGTGACTTTCGCCGCGTCCCCATTCTCTGTTTTCTGAATTTGTCCCGTGTTCCTGCTGTTTCTCACCTTTTTGCTTCTAAGAACGAAGCTGTAGTGAAAGCCCCCGTGTAGAAGGTTCCCTAGGTGTAGACTCGGGAGCGGGAGTGCTGGGTCCCAGGAAGCGTGATGTTCGACTCGCCCAGGCGGCGCCCGGGACTCCTCCGAGGTGCTGGGACAGTCAGCGCAGCCCTGGAAGCGCCTCCGTTCCGACTTCTGCCCATCTGGTGGGAATGCAGCTGGTTAAAACCTGTCGTTTAAAACGTGCATTTTTCCTGATCAATGAGATTGGACCTTGCGCCCTGTTCACGGGCCACTTCTCCTTCCTCTCCCGTGAAATACCCGTTTGTCTTTTGTCCGATGTTCTCTTCAGTCGTCTTCCCTGTACTTACTGATTTAATTACATGTTCTGAATGTTACTCTTCTTGTCGGGTGTGTGTATTGCTGATGTCTTCATCTATGGTATATTTTAAAGAACAGACGCTTTTAATTTAATATATTCGGATTTTCTAGTTTTTACCTTTATGGCCTTTTCTTCTTATGGCGTAAAAATTAAGAAATTTTCCCCTACCTTGAAGTTGTGATACGCCATCTCATATTTTCTACCAAAACTTTTGCCTTCCATGTTCAAGTTCTGAATCCATCTGGAATGGATTTCTGTGGCAGTGGGGGGTTGGGACCCCGGTTCTTTCTCACGAGCATGTCTCACGAGCCTTCCTCTGCACTCTTTCAGGTAAACTTTCAAACTACCTCATCAAGTCCCGTGAAAGTCCAGGTGGGATTGTGGTTGGCGTCGCTTTCATTCTATGAATCGTTTTGGGTAGAATTGGCCCCTTTACTCTAATGAGGCTTGTTATCTGTGAATATTATAAGTCCCTCCATTTAACTCACCTGTAATGCCTCGATGAAGTTTTACAATTTTCTCCAAAAAAGGTCTTGGAACATTTCTTTGTTAGATATACTTCTAGGTGCCTTGTACTTTTTAAAAAGATTTTTAAAATTTTTTCTTCTTTCTTTTAATCCTCACATGAGGATGTGTTTTTTCTGATTTTAGAGAGAGAGGATGGTGGGGGGGCATCAATGTGAAAGTGAAACATTGATGGGCTGCCTCCTGTATGTGCCCTCCTGGGGATTGAGCCTGAAACCCAGGCATGTGCCCTGACCAGGAATCGAACCCAAGACCTTTTGATGCACTGGACTACGCCCAGCCAACTGAGCCACACGGCCAGGGCTGCTTGTTGTTTTTTTAGTCACTATTGTCAGTGA